TATACTTAGAAATTCCACATAAAACCCCAAAACCCCAAAACCCCTCTTAGGTATATATACTATAAAGTTAGATTTGAAATTATAATAAATATTTATACCATCAATATGTTCAAAAATATGCTTAATAAATCAAAAAATTTGATGAAAACTACATAGAGCATTCTATGAGGAGCAAGCCAGAATCAAATACTGACTAAACCCTAAGGCAATAGAATTCTGCTCTAAAGAATGAATCTAATGAAGTTTTCAACACCAGTTTACAAAGATCAGATTTAGCACAATGACACTAAAGTAAGGAATACTTATCCAGCTCTAAGTTTAGATAGATCGAAAACTAATAGAAACTTTTGATCCCAAATTTATCAGGTTAGTTTAGATATTATCTAAATATTCAAATTTAGAAATTTCTGTATAATCGCTCATATTGATCATGGAAAGAGCACATTAGCTGATAGAATGCTTGAGCTGACTGGCACCATTAAGAGATTGACAAAAGAAGATCATCACTAAGTTCTCGATACACTGAAGGTAAGTACCTGACAATAACAATAATCCTTGATGATATCTCAAACGAGATGGTAAAAAGGTCGAGTCTGAGATGAAAATCAGTGACTTATAGCTAAAAGTCTGAGATTATAAATTTAATATAAATGCATGATGAATAGTCGATATATTCGGCTAAAAGGTCTTTGATAAATCCATGATTTAAACTCAGAGAAGGAAAATATCTGTTAATCTGAGAACTTTAAAATAAATTCGCAATTGCTTGGATCGATTTATTCATATAGGTTGAGCGAGAAAGAGGAATAACTGTTATAGCATAAACTGCAACGATGATTTACAAATACTAGGGATAAAATTACCTACTAAATTTAATTGATACACCAGGTCATGTTGATTTTACATATCAAGTGAGTAGAAGTATAAGAGCTTGCGAGGGAGCTCTTTTAGTTGTGGATGCAACGAAAGGAATCTAAGCCTAAACTATATCTAATTTTTACCAAGCATTTGATGCTGTATGTTTAATCTGCGTTTTATGCTTTATAGGGTTTAACAATAATACCAGTAATCAATAAAATTGATTTGCCAGCAGCAGATGTTGAAGCTACTAGAGAATAGCTAATTTAATAGTTCGACTTTAAAGAAAAAGAAATTCTTTATGTAAATTAATAAGATTGAATTTGTCATAGATATCAGCAAAGGAAGGTAAAAATGTGATTGAAGTCATAAATCACACTATTGAGAGAGTTTCACCACCTTTTAAAGAAATTTCTTAGGAAGAATAAAGTCGATTGCCACTTAAAGCCTTTTTATTTGATGCAAGATTTGTGGCTAGTCGTGGTGTTTCTTGTCTTATTAAAATTATGCAAGGTAGTTTGGATCTCCAAAAAACTCGAACTCTTATGTCCTATCACAGATCAAAGCGTTATGATCTATTTGAACTTGGAATAGTTTAGCCTAATATGGTGAATACAAGTATTCTAACAGCTGGCTAAGTAGGATATTTCTTGTCAAATATGAAATCAGTTCAAGATGCTCATATTGGAGACACTTTTTATGATGAAAAATATCAAAGATCTTCTATCGAACCATTCCCTGGATATTCTTAGCCTCAAGCTATGGTATTTGCTGGTATTTATCCTGAGGATCCTGATGATTATGAAGATCTTGAGAAATCATTATAAAAACTCTGCCTTAATGATGGCAGTGTTTCATTCAATTATGAATCCAGCGCAGCACTTGGAAGTGGGTTTAGATGTGGATTTCTTGGAATGCTTCATTTAGATGTTTTCAGGCAAAGGCTAGATGATGAATATGATATGATAGCTATAATTACTGCTCCTACTGTTTAGTACAAATGCATGATCAGAGGAAAGGATAAGGAAATTAAAATAGTGGATAATCCTTTAGAAGCTCCTGCACCTGAGCATATTGAATAATGGTATGAAGCAATAATGAATGCTACTCTTATAACTCCAGCTGAGTATGCAAAAGGAGTCAAGACACTTTGTGAGGAGAAAAGAGGCATTATGAAAAGTTAGGAATTCTTAAATCAATCGAAGGTAGTTCATTATACATATGAAATTCCATTATCTGAGTTAGTAACTGATTTCTTTGATAAATTGAAGTCTATATCATCTGGTTATGCATCCTTAGATTATGAATTTAACAGATTTGATGAAGCAGAGATTGTAAAAGTAATTTTTCATCTTAACGGTGATCCAATTGATGCTCTGACTTTCCTAGTTCATGATAGCAGAGCTGTTGATTTTGGAAAGAGATACTGCGCAAGATTAAAAGAACTTCTGCCTCCTTAATTGTTTAAAATTGCCATTTAATGCAAAATTGGAGGAAAAGTAATTGCTAGAGAAGAGTAATATCATTTTATTGAATTAATAATTTTATATAGTATTAAGGCTTTAAGAAAGGATGTGACAGCTAAGTGTTATGGTGGTGACATTACTAGGAAAAAGAAATTACTGGAAAAGCAAAAGGCTGGAAAGAAAAAAATGAAGGCAAGAATGCTTGGATAAATTCCAGTTGACTCAGAAGTATTTTTAGGCCTACTAAAACAAAATTGAAAAGCACAAGATAAAACTATTTAATTCAGTAATTAACTTAGATCTTTATTCTAGTTTTAAGGGGTTTTGGGGTTTTGGGGTTTGGGGTTTTG